CCTGCTCCTGCTGTTGCCTGCAGACTGTGCTCTGGGCTTTGGCACCGCCTTTGCAAACGGCTCGCTGATTCTGGTTGATACCTTTGACCCCCCTACGCTCCCCACCAGCATGTCGGACACACTGGTGTTTTCAAGTCCCAGCAGCAACGACAGCAAGGGTAACAGCAGCACCACCGACAACAGCAAGGCATCAATCAAGCCTACCGCAGGCACAGCAGCAGCAGCAGCAGCAGCAGTGCCAGAGGCTGCTGGTGCTACCGTTGCTAGCTTTGCAGAATCCTCTGCAGCTACTGCCAGGGTACGGCCAACCCTGCTGCCAAGGGACGAGCAGCGCCAGCTGCAGCCTGCCTACAGGCGCCGCTTCCAGTCCTACATGCGCGCAAACGGGTACAATGTGCGCACCACCCGCCGCGGCACCTTTGTGTCGCGGCTCACACCCCGCCAGATCCAGCAGCAACAGCAGGAGCAGGAGAAGCAGGAGCAGGTGCAGAACGCGCTGCGGTTCAGCAGCACCGACACATCTGCCGCTACGGAGAGTGCTGCGGTTGCCGTGCCGGCTGGGGTCGAGTCGGCACCGGAGCAGCCGCTGGTGTGTGCGGCCTGCAGGGGCAAGATGGTGTCCATCGGCGGCCTCATCGGTGGCAGCTTCTGCATGCCTTGCGATCGCGGAACAAAGCCAGACTCCACACGCAGTGAATGCGGTAAGGGCTACACAACAGTGGATGTGGTCTTACAGGTGTCGTGATGTGAAGTTTTCTACCTGCGACTCCGAGTTGTGCAGGCTGAGCTGTGTTGAGAGTGCGCGGCGTTAAATGCCAGCAGCTGTTTGCAGGCAGCCCTGTCTTGTTGTGGGCTGCCCGCTTAGGCTCCAACATGCTGTTCACTGCCACACGTCTCTTCATGATGTCATCCCACTGGATGTACTGCTGCTGACACAGTGTGCTGCTCTGCTGCTGCTGTACATTTGACTGCAGAGACTTTGCAGTGAACATACTGCCAGCCGCGGCGGCGGCCTGCAAGCTCCTGAGATGAAGCAGCAAGGTGCTGGCAGCCAGCAGCACTTGCAGCAAGGCTTGCAGGCTGTACTGGACGACCTCGGCGGCAGGAGAGTGTTGCGGAGCTGCTAGCTGCTGCAGCCAGAGTGCTGCATGCATGTTGAAGTACGCTCCACAACACTAGCCTTAGCAGTGACTGTCACACCAAGTGGGTTCCTTCCTTTGTATGGATGTGTGCTATACCTGCCAGCAACAGTGACAGCTGTTGAATCGGCAGGCGGTTGTGCAAGTGACAGCATGTGTGTAGCTGTTGCGGCTTAGCTGTTGCAGAGGGCATCCGCTGCTCTGGCAGCCCTGCGAGCATCGCTACTGAGTGTTTGCAGTGCAAGAATATAGTTTTGTTCAGTGCCTGCAGTGCTGCAGTCTGTCCATTTTGATGTGTGCAAGCAACAGGGAGGTGGTTGAGCAGACATGTCATAATGGTGCAGCTTGATGTGTCATGCTGATCATGTGCAGGCAGTAGCCGCTGGCATGCCAAGCAAGTGGCGCTGCTGCAACAACATTCTTCAAGAGCGTGTGTTCACGTTGCTTGCAGCTGCAGTGTTTAGCAACGCAACTGACACATCAAAGCGACACACATAACGTGGGAGGGTGTAGGATGTGGGGCCTTCCTTTGCATGCATGCAGTGCTGTTTCCTCATACATAACAGTCGCATTTGTACCTGCATTAACAACGATCCATTTCTTGCTTTTTGTGACACACACTGGTGACCTGTCATGGTGGACTGCCACGTGAACTAGGCGGTGCCCCGTGCTGCAATGTGACAGCAGGCAGCACGCAAGCATGATCATCAGTTGACAATACTGGTGCTGTATTGCTGGGAGGTGATGACTGCAGACTGGGGTTTGGTGAGGCGTGATGTACCGACACACCTTTACAGTTCAATTTGAGGTCTCGGTCGCTGCGTTCTGTGATGTTTGTCACTAGCATTGCCAAGCTTGCCGCAGTTTGTTTCTCAGATACGTGAGCGCATCAATGCTGGAGGCATGCACACACTCTCACCCTGTGGTTAAAGGCATGCTGAGCATAGGAGCTGTGATCTATTCATGCCTACTGTGTTTGCTGCGGTGTGGTGGGAATGCGTGTTATAGAACTGGTTTGGAAGGTCTAAGCAAGTCATGTCTTGTCAGCTACTGCTGTCACTGTAGAGTTCCAGTGGACGGCATGTTTGCTGGTATGCTGTGGTGCCTGCATCCGCATCAGCCCGCAGCACCGCGTAGCTTAAAGGCCGTACCGCTAGTACTAGCTGTGTAGGAAGGCTTGCGTTGCAGGAGGTGCATGTCCCTGCTGCTAGCCATATGGCAGCACACCAAAGCTTGGATGCCGTATGCCCTGCCGGCAGGAGGGTTTACAGTGTACACTGCTTGCTTGCTTGCCTTGCGTGCCAGAGTGCTGCTGCTTCTTCACAGTGTAAATGGGCTTGCCAGCAGTGGTGGGAGTCCTGCGGCAGGCAGTACAAGATGGAGCCGGCAGTGTGCTGTACCAATCAGCAAGATTACAGAGCACATTATCAGAAACAGCAGCTGCTGGTCGATAACTCGCCAATGTTCATCATCATCAAATCACCCATTCAAGCCATAGCATCAGCGCCATCGGCCCCGCGCCCCACCGGGGCGGAAAGAGGAGGGAGCACTGCACCAGAATGTTTGCATGCATTGCGCACATCCCAAGACTCGACAAGAAAAGCAGCAATACACGGTGACACCATCCGACATCTTCCAGAACTGCCCCAAATATCATCAGATACAAAACGCAACGATAACTCGCCAATTTTGAAGTAATAGCAAGGAGAACCACGGATACATTATGCAGAACATTTCAACCATGCACTGCATGGCTTGGCAAGCTATGCCATGGTGGCGCGTTGTACCCTCGTGTGCTGCAGTGTTTTTTACCAAGTGTGTTGGCTCCTTAGTGGGTGGGCCGGTGGCCCTGCTATGCAAGAGGACACGGTACTAGCATGCAGTTCACTGGCAGCCCCCCCCCCTCCGCATGAAAGCCAATGACTGCTACTATGCATGATGGTGATATAATGGTACTATGGTGTTCTCTTGCAGGTCTCTACATCAGCCTCGCATGCAGGGGTAGGGTGACACTGTGAAAAAGCAGCAGCACTCTAGCATGAAAAGGCAAGCCGTGTGAGGAGACTGTAGTCACCTGAGCGGTTGGGTTCTTGTTCTGGGGGGTGGGGGTGGGTTGGTCCGGTTGCATTTGCTTGCTTGCTTGCCTTTTCATGCTAGAGTGCTGCTGCTTCTTCACATAAGGGCTTTCCTTCCCCTGCTTTGTTTCCCTTCTAGGTTGCAGTGCTGCTGCTGGCTATCATACTGGCAAGGTCCTTCATCATGAAGGAATTGAAGTAGTATCAATCACTGGGCTGTCACATCTTCACAAAATTTGCTTGCTGTGGCGGTCACCGTAGCACAAGTACGAGGACACAGCACTGCACGCAAACACGTGTAGCAGCATCCTCCTACTTGAGTCTCCAAGACGTGGGGACCATGCGTGCCTCACGAGCATGGAGCTAACCTCTCCTTCCTGTCAAATGAGCGTTATCAGTAGGAAGACACGGACCAAGAAAAGGCACAATCTGCCATGCAGGAATGCACTGGCAAATGATGCTTAGGGAGGAGCATTTAAGCAGTGCGTATTGTCCTGTTGCACATGCCACAGAGTCGGTGCAATTGAGCCCGTCTTCCTCACTGAAGGTGATTACATTGCAATGAAGTGTCACAAAGCGTGTGGCAAGGAAAAAAGAATAATCGGATACTGTACTTGGGCTGATCACATGTCGGAACCCTCTTTGAGACACACGGAACTTCCGTGGAGACGGCCGTCACACCTCCAGCTATCGGCTAACAGACCACAATCACACTGATTGCAGCTGTGACGAGGTAAAGTGTGCCTGCGGCCGCAGAAGAAGGTGGGTGCCGAGGCTTGACTGCAGTGGTCTCATCACACGTCATCACGTCACGGCGAAACAACGGACACACTCTCTCTGTCCGCATACCTTTTCAACTCTGTTTTTCTGTGCCCAGACTTGCTTCCCTGATAAACAGTAATACGTCAATTTTGCAAGCAAAGCTGATCAGAAGAACACAACGCAACGTTGATCAGAGTTCCTCCTAGCAGCTGATTCGCATATCGCAACCTCAGGCTGCGTAAATACACGCTTCAGTAGCAAAGTGTGTGCGTGAAACATCAGCAGCAGTACAGCAGCTCCACAGCAAGCAAACACCACAGACGCAGCTATGGAGCCTATTCGGTCGTATCGGCGCAAGAGGAACCTGAAGCAGGTAATTCCAAAAGAAAGGTGCTCGTGTGAGACCGCAGACCCGTCACGAGGTTTCATGAGAGCCTGTCACAAATGGGCAGCAGCTGTGCTTTGCAGCTGCCCAGTGGCACAGCGGCACACCTCCACGTGATGCTGTCCGCTTTACACTGGTTCCTTATGCTGATTTTCTACTCCATCATGGCCTCTCAAATTGCACGGCAGCTGTTGACAAATGCATCAGTCACAATGCACACCATGTGCACCCAGGATAAGGCTCTCCTGCAAGCAACACAGACCCTCGTCTACCCTCGCTGCATACCTCATCCTCTTGCTCGAACCGCAACTCACAACCCCCACCAATGATGCAACACCCCGCAGGTTCAGTCCACTGTGGGCACCCGCAAGGGCAGGAGCAACCGTTCCCTGGGCCTGGGCCCCAACGAGTCGCATGCTGCTCGCGAGCTGATGGGCCCGGACGCCTCCCCCAACCTGCGCGTGTGGCAGATGTTTGACGAGGCTGCTACGTTTGACCACAGGCTGGAGGGCGCGAGGGACCTGCTGGAGGACTTTGAACATGCGACAGACGGTGCGTGGGGGCTGGGCATTGTGTGCTGCGCAGGGTTGCGAACAAAAAATTCAGCTTAAACCCTTTGCTTTAAAAAGCCAAATAGAAGAGTGAGTAGCGCAGATGGTTAGCGCATTAGTCTGTCACACTAAAGGTCGGGGGTTCGAATCTCCTCTCTCTCGTTAAAAAGTGGGTATGATCTTGGCCCCGCCTGGTGTGCTGTCTCAGCGGCCGACTGCCGGCGTGTACGCTTGCTGCATTGCAGCTGACCGAGCTGCATCGCTGGGCAGCAATTGATATGCACAGCGCACGCCGGTGGATGGTGGAAGGCTGGTGCGCAGCACAGCATGCTTCCTTCACCCACCACCCGTGCAAACTGTGCAAACAGGGCTGCGATGTTCTGCCACTTGTTTTGATGGTGATGGCGTGTGCTGCTGTGCATCAGCTGATGGCTGGTCGGGCGGTCCACAGGCCAACACCTGTGGAGGCAGGAGGGCAGGCAGCTGCAGTTTAGCTGCTGCTTTCATGGCATGCAAGGCAGCTGCTGCTTTCATGGCATGCAAGGCAGCAGCCTGTTTGCCACTGTTGCTTGTTCCAAGGTTGAGTTGCGTGACAACTGAAGATTTCCTTTGTTGCCCTGCTGCCGCTGCCTCCACTGCTGGTGCTGCTGCTGCTGTGGTTAGTATGACATTCTGCTTTGCCTTGCCTGGAGCCCACCCGGCCTGCTACACTTCTGCTGTACACCTTTTACGGTCTTCACGGTCACCTGTGATGTTACAGCCGCTGCTGCTGTTCCTCCTACAGCCCTCACTATTCTGCTGCTGCAAAGGAGCCTATCCCGCATACGCCAGCACCACAGCATCAGCCATCTACTCACCCTGCTGCTTCTGCTGCTGCTGCTCCTGCCCACTGCTGCTGCCCCTGCTGTGTGGTGCCGCTGCTCCTGCAGAGTTCCTGCTGACCCTTGAGCCCATCCTGAGGGCGCCCCTGCCGCGCGTGTGGGACGCTGTCGACGGAGGGCTTGCTGAGCCAACGCGCGCTACCATCAGCCACAGGTAAGCCACGCTCGGCGAGCCGTTTGAAGCTGTCAATCTACTGCTGTGCGCGCTCGTGCTGCATCTGCGTGTATGTCATCTTTAGTACCAAATACCAAAGTAGGGTCACAGGCCCACCCACTAAGGAGCCAAACAAGGCTCATGGGTTTTTTTTTAAATGCACTCGTAATTTTGGCGTGGTCCTGCTGGTGCTGTGCTGCAGGCACGCGCATTCTGTGGGTGGCGACGCCAGCCAGGCAGGGCTGGAGGAGGCCCGTGGAGAGTTCCACAACAGGCTGAGGGGCCACATCATCAGGCCCCTGGAGCAGTGGAGTGATGGGCTGGCCGCAGTGGAGGTGCGTGCCTGCCTTGGTCGGGCTGCTGGCTCCTTGACTCGTGCTGTGTGTGCCATGGGGCAAGGGCTGCAGGGACGGGTGTGCCACATGCCATAAGATGCGTTTTTACCTAGCGTGAAAGGCAGCAATGTCACACGCCGCGCGTTGGTGTGGGTGGTGTGGGTGCTGCTCAAGTGCAGGACATCAAGCAGCATCACCTGGGTGCGTAGTAGAGTCTCCAGCAGGAACACTGGTGACCACTGCAGTGCACGTCGACAACCTCTCAGAACTGCATGCCGTGTCTACTTTGTTGTTACATTGTTACTCCTTGCAGGAGCGGCTGCCCGAGCTGGTCAAGCTGCGCGGCCGTGTGGTCAAGACCAGCAGGAACCTGGCCCGCTACAACTCCAAGTACCAGCGCCATGTGGCTAAGGAGGGCCATGCCGGCAGCGCCACTGCTGCTTCTGCTGCAGCGCCAGGTCAGACTGGCAGCATCCACACAAAGCCAACCGGCGGCGGCATGAGGTAGGCACCACAGGGAACATGGCCCTTGAACAGTCCTTAACGCATGCTTTGACTGGGGTGCCAGGGAGTTACGCAGGAGTTGTGATGAGTGTGGTTGTGGATGCCGGCACACAAAAAGCAAGAAAAAGTTTGTGCAGATGCCGACGGAACGCCAAATGTACTGATGCTTTCCAAGTGGAAGTGGCGTCTGCAATCATATGTGTCTGCTGCCTGCCCTGCCACCTGCAGGGGTCTGTTTGGCTCCTGCATGCACCCACGCGCAGGGCACGGCGGCGGGCGGCGCCACAGGGACAGCGGCAGCGACTACAGCAGCGACGACGACGTGTCCGAGGTTGACAGCGAGGTGGCACGCCAGGTCGCCAGCGAGGAGGCGGGCATGAAGCTCAACTACAAGCACAGGAAGCTGGATGGTGAGCTGCATGCGGGCTGTTGCGGTGTAAGCACGAGTATATGCTGCTGCTGTGCTTGCTTCTTGTGCGGGTCCCTCACGGGGATCTGGCAAACGCAGCTGTGCGATACTTGCTTGCCGCCGACGACGGAAATGCGCAGCTCATGCGTACGTGCTGTGTGTTGATACGGCTGCGTCAAGCGCTGGTGCATGCAACGGCCTAGTTGTCCACCCCATGCCAAATCGCGCTCCTCTACTTGATGGAAGGGCGCACCTCCTGCACACCTCTCTGCAGCTGTGCTGACGCTGTACTGGGTGTGTTGCTGCGCACGTGCTGTGGTGTCTTCCTCGCAGCCGCACGCGGCGACTACAATGAGCTGGAGCAGCTGGTGGCGGGCCAGCTGGCGGGGCTGGCGCGGGATGCCAGCTGGCTGAAGAGCTACCTGGTGTCGTCGATGCTGCTGGGCAAGGAGGCAATGCAGGTATGGTTGGCTGCTGCTGTGGCTGCGTACTTATTGTTTGTTTGTGTATTTGTTGTGTCGGTGTGTCGTATGTCAAGGATGGTGGGTGATGGCTGGTGATGCATTGCTTCTGCCATGGCCTAGCACATAACGATCCAGGGGGGCCCGTGTTGCAAGGACCAGCTACTGCTGCGTGACGGCACGATACGGGCGCGTTGTATGGGATTGTGTCACAGAATGAGCACAGCGTGGTTTTTGTTTGGTGGAGTGCATGCATCATTGTGTGTGGTGGTCATTTGAGGCTGAGCCGCCTCAGCTCGTGGTGGTGATTGAGCGCATGCAAAGGCGGCTTGTCATTCCATGGTACATGCGCACTGAGGGCCGCCAAGCAGCTGCTGCGACAGCCTGCTCACCCTACAGCAACACCCTGCCATCCTCTTTGCTGTTTACAAATGGGTGCAACTGAGCAGTTCTGGTCGGTACCAACCATGCAGCAGCTGCCTGCTCCACTCCCTGCGGTCGGGCGGTGCATGTGCACGCGCTGGTCTTGCAGCCTAATATTGCGGGATGTGTGGGATTTGACACGCTGCACGCTGTTTGCCGGGCGGTTGGCGTGTCGCTGCAGATGGCTGTGGTCGCGCTCGGCACAACCAAGCAGCCGCTGCCGGGCTTCACTGGACGCGCCGCGGCCCCCAAGGAGCACGGCGAGATGGGCTACAACTACGACCTGGCTGCTGCCATGCCACCAGTGAGTGCAAATGCTAGCTGATACCAGTTTGTTATGTGCTTGTGCATGTGCTTGTTTCTGCTGTGTGCAGCATCCACCACCACGCGCATAGGTTGGTGTAGTGCTGTGCTAGAGAGGCAAGAACATCTGTCAAGGAGCATGAAGAGACGGGTGAACTTGAAGCTGGCTGCAGCACAACACGAGCTGTTGTCCATCACGCATTCATCAACATCAGTCTCATTGTGTTCCAACACCACGGCAGGGTATTGAGGGAACGGCACACACACACGCACACGCACACACACACGCACACGCACACACCTGCTGCCTTTCCTGCCGCCGTGCTTGCGCCCTGTTGCCTCTGCAGGAGCTGCCCAGCATGAGGCATGACCAGGGTGGCTGGGGCCTGCAGCTGCTGCCCCACATTGCCGACACGGGCCTCTCCGCGCACAAGGCCACCGCCAGTCCCCTGGAGCTGTCTGCAGTGCCCACCGCCCAGGCCATGCAGCCGGTGACACCCATCCCCGAGAGCGCAGCTGGCATCCGCATGTCAGACATTGCGCACACGTCGGCAGTGCGGGAGTACGAAGCTGGCGCAAGGGGAGGCATCGGCAGCCAGCGCGGCGCGTCAGGCACAGCTGGGGGCGTTGCAGCCGCAGTCGGCCCCGTTGCGGCTGGTGCTGGCCGCGAGGAGCTGCAGCAGCAGCAGCACATGGGTTACGAATCGTCAACAGCTACCGGCGGCATGCATATGGGCAGGAGGAGTGGTGCTGCTCTTGGCGGGAGGGGTGACGTGGACGAGCACGAGGGTGCAGGGTACAGGTCTTATGAGCATGAGGGTGCAGGGTACAGGTCTCACGAGCACGACAGCAGCAGCGACAGGGGTGTGATGGGCGCCATCAAGGACGCTGCAGGGTCGGTCGCCTCGGCGGTCGGCTTGGGTGGCGGCAGCACCGAGAAGGGGGTGACCCACCGCGAGGACTACTCCGACATTGATGCGGTGGGCAGCAGGGACCAGGGCAGGACAGCTGGCAGGGGCATGGCGGCGGCCGGGGACGGGGACTACAGCAGCGATGAGCATCGCCACGCGCACGGCAGCCAGCCGGTGCTGCGTGCGGGGCCTGGCGGTGATGAGGTGGTGTGTGGCCGCAAGGAGTTTTCGCAGGTCGAGGACCGGCCCATCGTGAAGGAACGGGTGACGAGGGTGCTGGAGCACCAGCCGGTGCAGAAGGAGTTTGTGACACAAGTCACGTGAGTGACTGGCGTGGTGGCAAGTAGGCGATGCCGTGCGCGCCATGCAGCCGTGGTGGGCTGCAGCATGGGGGTTAGTTGCTGAGAGCTGCATGCAGTTGCATGCCGCTGTCTTAATGCCGGTAGCCTGGGTGTTTCACACGCGGCTTAGTTTTGTGTGGTTTTTGCATAACAATCAGGCGTGTGTATTGTGTGCCTTTCATCATCCGCGTACTGTGGTGACGATTCACAGCTGCCTGCCGCTGCCGCCCCTTGCCCCTCTCCCCTTGCCCCTCTCCCCAATCACTGGCATAATGCATCCTGCAGCCTCATCACTGGGCAAGCGCTGCCTGGGCTGGCGGCTTACATCCCAGCGCTGTACATGTCGTTTCAAAAACACACAAGCTAAACCTTGCCATGCGTGTTTTTTCTTTTGCTGCATTTGCACCGCTCGTGCATGTTCATCCTGCAGGTTTGCTGGC